TCCAAAAGCCTTCTTTTGTGTGCCTTGTTGAGGCCTAATGAAAAGCTCTATTGTGCAGCCTTTTACTAACACTCTTTTCACAATTCTGGCTGAGAGAGGAATGTGAATAAAAGGCACAAGCAATTAAGGCGGAAACCTCATCCTTTTTCATGATGTATTTAGGGAAATGGAAAAAAAAAAAAAAGAGTGCACATTGATCAGAAGGCTGCACTTCAAAAAAAAAAAAAAAGAAAGAAAGAAGATGGGGGTGGAGGAGAAGAAAAGGAAAACAGTACAACCTTGATAAGATCGCAGCATTAGAGGGGACAAATTTACAAGCTTGTCCAGAATATGAAGTTAACCAGACTCCGCTCACTGTTAGTAAACTGAGCCTCGCACAGATCAGAAATGGCATTTCCCTTGACTACTGCGTTTTCTTTTAGGTGAGGAAAAAAAAAAATATCTTGCTTCAGTTTCAGGGTTTGATCCCACAACGGCAAAAAGCACGTGAAGTTAAGTAGATCAGAGACAAGAGTCTGAAATCTCTGCGCCAACTCCACTGCATGACTCGCGAGTCGATCTTCCTTCTGAGGGAAAACGTCAGTTTTAGCAGGAACTGCATTGTGCTGAATGACATCAAGGACCCAGTGAAGGTTTAAGAACACGCTGCAGGCCTTTATAGAGGAAAATTACCTGAGACCGCAAAAATCAGCATGGAGACAGGCATGTTTTAATGTTACGGAGCGCTCACTTATGGTCACTCCTTATGTATCTGATTTGTTAAAATAAACTTCATACCTGCCCATCAACAAAACTATTAAAAAACTGGTAAAAAAAATAATTTATCGCATTATATTGCTTCTCCAAATGATAAAAGGCTTAAGCACCTTCCACTCAACTAAGGATCACCGGAGCATTCCTGTATGTCTCTATGTTCTGGTAGCCTGCATGATTTCTGTAGCATTAAAACAGCCACTTGAAATGAAACTATGGAGAAAGCAGAACACTTTATCAGGAAAATCTACATAAACCTTTTTGTACATTCAGGTAGATTCAAAGTTTCTCTCTTTTATTGTGCTTTTTTGAGAGAACTAGGTGGGAAAAAAAAAAGACAAATTAAGAAGTCATTGCAGGCTGTTCTGTACAATCATTATTAGTTATTATTGAATTACAGTTTAGCATGATATCAAGCCTGTAACAGGAAACAGAAAACAAAGGGATATAAATTTATCTCATGTTTTTGAAATGCTAGAAATAAGCTGTGATGGTGTGTACACATTCAGGAAATCTGCTAATGTTTATTTTTCCGTTTCATAATGCAATCTTCTTTACAGAAAGCTTTTCATTCAAGCATTTTGATCTCCTGTTAAGAATTAAATATCATAACTTGTAGAAATGGAGGGCCAGAAAAAAGCTGGGCCAGCAAAACATCTTACCAGATATTTAACTTCAATAAGCCTGCCTGCTTATATTTAAGAACATCTTAATGCTTTGCTGACTGAAGCCTCACCATCTTTCAAGGCTGGCCAGCCAAGCAATGGGAATCCACTGGTCCAACCAGGCATCCCCATTCACAAATGTCTTTGAACCAGCACCAGGCCACAACTCCTCTATTTAGTTATCTATTATCAACAGGCAATAGATTTTCTGACTTGTTTGAGTTTTTTTCCCCAGAAGATGACATAGTTTCACATTTTCCAATGGTTTTTTTTTGCAATTTTACTTTGCTTTAACTGAGGCATTCGCTTTCCGTTTCACATCATGGATCGAATTTAAAATTTCTCTGACCTGAAATTTTCTGGAGAGTTATGTTGTGAGCAAAGCAGTAGGTCTTAAACATGTGAAGACACAGAGAAGAGACAGTGGCCAAAGACTCAGGGTCAGTGATGTTTAGCTGCTTCCACACCACTAGTTACTCTCCAGTTAACTAACTTAGTTAACTACGAAGTTACTCATACCTCAAGGGCTAATGCCAGCATCATTCATAAAGACCTCTCTCTAGAAGAGGCTATTTTGTTCAAAAACCAGTCATGAAAGAATATAAAATTATTAATTGCTCAACTGCAAAGAAAAGAACAAGGGGAGAGTTTCTCACTAGAATGTTGGTTTTACAGCTCACTACAATATTTAGTTATGAATGACTTGTATTAATACATATATATTAACAGATTAACTTTCTTGCATGCTCTCACATTCCTCTTCTCTCCACACACACACGTATAAGCCTCAGCCCATCTTCTCATGCTAATTCATAAATCCCACAATTCCCATCTTCCTAAACAGCCAGGCAAATGCTCATATCCTCATCTGTTGGGGCCATACCTATCCTTTATGGTTCATTTGGTAGATATATCGAGGAGATGCTTGTGAGAGAACCCGCCTAAATCCCCATGGCCATGTGCACATCCCATGGCCATGTGCATGGTCACAACCACTGTCTTTGGTGGTGCAGGTAATGCCTCTGGGACTCCTTAGGAAACCAGGCTAGAAAGCAACTACTACACCAACACATGCTAACATAGTTTTTCAGAATTCCATGGGAAAAAAATCAAATTCTTCCTAAAACCAGATTATAGCTGTACAAAGCTCTCCTGTCTACCAGGTTGTGTTTTTTGTTAGTTCACTCTTTAAAGGGTTTTAGATCTTTCCAGTGGTGGAAAATATTTTTAACAAACAAACGAACAAAACCAACAAAACTGAAAAGCTTCTGCAGCCTATTCATGAATCTTGGCATCGTTATGCTTTGGTAATACCCTCTGCTATCTTGTGCTTATCGTGGGGGTTTAGCAATTGTTTTGGTGAAGAAAAGTACACCCTGCCTGTGCTGCGACTATTTCACAAGTGCTACTTATACAAAGTATATCCACATTACTGCTCCCACGGAACAGACACGGTAGGAGCAAAAAGCTGGAGGAAAGTACAGTAACGAGCAGAGATGCCATCAGGGTTAGAGGTGCACTGTGTTTGCCCTGGTGCAAATGTCTAACAAAAGATCATCTCTGTCTGGAGGAGCTTCCTGTCCACAGGAGGCAAAACACAAAAGAGCAAGGAATACGCTGAGACGTCATGCAACGGCCCAGTGGAAGAGCCAAGATTAAAACTCACAGACAACTCTTCAGACAGTGCCCTTCCCCAGGAAGGATCCGACCCTGGATCAATGGGGAGGCCAAGCACTTCACATGGTGCAGGAGAAACTGCCACCCCTCCAAATACTAACAACGGCCTCAAGTCTCCTCTGATAAATAGGTACCTGCTAACTCTTTGTTGTTACTCTAGATCATGATACATCTTTCTACCGTCCTTAAATTCATTCCCGTATCAGACTGAAGGTCTTCCCCAAGCAGTTTTAGTCAATTCTGAAGTCTGGGAAATGCATGTCTTAACTATATCTTTACTTCTTCAGTAAATATTTTATTTTTAGATGTAAAAAGTTGCTACATTTTTTTCCCAAGCTCTGGGAACATTTCAGGAATGTGAGGCAAGATACACAGTTATTAGAAATAGATATTTCCCAAGCCACGCACAAGTTTTCATCACTGAATACACCACTAAATCCTCCAACGACTGTATTACATTTCAATTCACAAAATTCACTATTAAATTACTCATGCACGCAGGCAGGAGTTTAGGTCTCTGCATCTTTGAGCTATCAAAGGAAACATTTTGTGAAGTTCTTTCATGTTCAAAACTGTCTCTTGGTATGTGTGGACTTTTCTCATAAACAAAGCATCAGAGGGATGTTTTGTTGTTGTTGCTTTTCTTTAGTACACTATAGGGCAAAATCTAGAGCAGGTCAAAGGCTGGGGTTTTTACTGTGAGAACAAGGTAAAAATTATTTCATTAGCTGACATGTTCTCTGATACATAATTATTTCCCAGCTACCCTGTGACATCACTTTAAAAAACAGAAGTATTTAAGACTGACTACATGAAAAGAAGAGAGAAGGACGTGTGCACTGGTGATATAGCACCCAAAGAAGTGAACGGGGTATGCCAGCCTGGGGGAGCTGATGGGGTATATCAGAGGTGTTGGTGCACACAGTGAGCAAAGGAGAACGTCAGTGGCTCAGGGAAGAAAGAAGGCAAGGCTGAACCCTCAATTCTGTGCCAATTCTTTATTTCTTTATCCTTCTTTTGGTCCCTCTTCCACAAACATGCCCAGAACCTCTTTCCTGATAATTTATGCGCTGCAACTTCTTTCAATTTCAAATCACACCTTCATCCTTGCCCAAAATAATCTTCCAAGATCTTGCTTACAAGAGGATTTTTCATGAAGTACATTCACTTTTAAACCACTCTTTCTACGAACTCTCCCTACCATCCTCCACTGAAAGCGCTTTCCTGCAAATGTAAGTTGTGGTACAGAGCCAAGTGGACATCCTGTCCCAAAACGCAAAGTAACAACCCTGTGTTTAGGAACTTGATTTTCAACTGACTAGCTACCAAGCTTCTGGATATTACATGATTGTATGCTTGTGGAAATACAACAGTGGCTCTTAAACCATTTCTATGCTTGGCAACATTTTATCAAAGGAGTTTAGCAAGTTAAAAAACATTAAGACATTTTTTAAAAGAGAAAAGAAAGCACAGGAGCTAACATTATGTGTGTGTTGCACCATTCACATAAACTCATAAGATGTTTTTTGTCTTCCTTTTTCTGTCACTCAACTCATTTATTCTCCTTCATGGTGTAATCCCCCCCAGTGTCTTGTCTTGTCTCCTGACAGGCTGCAAGCTCTTCAGAGCAGGCACAATTGTCTTGCTTGCTATATAAATCAAGTTACATGCTAATGTTAAATTATAATGTTTTGACAGGATTTTTAAGTTGAACCTGATTACATGAAACAATAGCACACTCTGATTTTTTTTTTCCTGAAATTTTCTTCTTTAAGAAAGAAATGATACCAGAAGAGGAGAAGTAGGGGGTTTATCTCCCAGTGTTT